TGTGCTCCTGGTTTTCCAGTAAAAATTGTCACATGTTAGAAGACTCAAATCTTCTCAGGTCCTCCTTCTACCTCTTGTCCGTCATTATCCCAGATTAATGCCTGTGCCTTCTTTGTTCTGCAATGGCCGTTGCTGGTAGTTTTGAAAAAAAAAGTATTTTGCTGTACCACATGTTGAGAAATGCATGCCAGCAACCATCCTTCTCATTTAAATTACCACAGAGCAGTCATATCACGCTGTTTTCTCTGGATCATTTGTGCAATGTCAGGTAAGGCAGGATGTGAATCAGCCATGACTCGATTCAGAAGTAGGACTCCGAAATCTTCTGGTTTCAATTTACTTTGGGAATTCGTGGGACTGACAGATAAAGGAACGTGAACCAAGAGAAATTTAATACCTGCTCTAAATCTTGGTCTTATACAATGCCCCTATGTATCCCTTCCTCAGAAGGCATTGATCCCCTAGTCCTCTGAGGGGTAAAGGAGAATAGGGAAACTGATTTTCCCTCCATTTCTATTCCCCTATTTTCATGGCTCCACAGAAGAAATCTCCCTTTCCTCCATCTCCAGGCTGTTTAGCATTAGAAAGCAATCGGTCTGTGAGCAACACCTAGAACAACTCTTCCCAGATGGGAGATCACATCTCCTCTTTCTCTTCTAGCAAGGGTAGCTTAGAAACCACCTTGTCATGAACCATGCCTCAGGTTCCACTTGAGACAAAAGCTCATTATATTTTGCCTAAGGAAACTCTGGATGTCCTGTGCTCTGAAAGATGGCTTGGGGGCCTTATACTTAAAAAAAAAAAAAAAAAAGAGAACCCTGCTTAGAGTTCCTTATCTCAGAGATACACACAAGCATATGCTAAAGTCTTGACCAAGGCCATGGACAGTTACATCTCTTATATATTTGTAAGTTTAATATAAAACCATAAGACATACCTGTCCACATATCTTTAGCTTAGAAAGTAATTTTTTCATATTAGTTGGATGATATCACAGACTCTCTTACACAGTGTGGTGAACATGAATGAATTTCATAGCACTAAGTTTCATAAAATTGTACTTATTCTAGCATGACTTGCTTATGGATGACAGATACATCCACATTTTAATCCTCTGCTATTCCTGGAAACAAAGAGCATATTCCTTTATCAATTACACTAATCCAAACTAATCTTTTCATGGAATACTTGGCATTAAGAGAAAATATTTATATCTAAAATAAGCAAGATGATCCATTTCTATTCCCTATATTGTTTTAGCTTACTGGGTCCCTTGCACTAGTTTTCCTTAGACTGACATGACTCACAAATGGCTTTTCAAATACAATTTTTCCATATGCACCTACGTGCACGAGTGGACCCCCCAGATGATGAAACAACTTCAAAGAGGGGACAGAATGATCGGAGAGGAGAGAAATATTTGAAGAGCTGGGAGCAGATAACCTTTTAGGACTGTTCCCACAATTTTGGCAGGTAAATGTGTCTGATATGAGCACTTCAGTCATGCACAGATAGATGACACATTTGTGTGTGGGCAGAGGATGAAATTGGGTGTGGACTGCGTGCCTCTGCAATGGATACAGTGATAGGTCTAACACAGCACCAGAAACACTGAGTCATCTGTTCAGAGCTTAGAGTTCTTCATCATTTTCCCTTTATCACATGGAAAAATCCTGGCTGGGTTGCCTGCAAATTTATCCTTGCTGGCTGGGGCCCAATCTGAGAGAAAGACCAACAGACAGCAGGGTTTAGACACACTTGGAAAACTCCCCAAAGTCCACTGATTCATGTAAAAAGAGATTGTATACCCTCACGATAATACCAAGCACTCAGAACAGTTATTTTGTCTCTTTCATCCTCTTATAGAATGAGCATAGCTGAAAATAAACAGTCTTGTAAGTATCTTAAGTATCTTTGAAGAATTGAACTCAGAGGCAATTGGAAAAACCCAAGCGTACAACCTGTCGTATGGAAGTGTGTAGAAAGGAAGTGATATCTAATTTGGGGCAATAATCACTGTGATCACCTTAGATGCTGACAGTGAGTAAACATTTCTATATTCTGAAATCATGCCCAGCATCACTATCACATTATCTTTGGCTTACCTTTTCAACACAAATTGGTAAATTAACTATATGCCAACAAACCCAATGGCATGATGGCAGACAAGAACTCCCTTATCCTCAAAGCAAAAACACAACTGTAGCCAGTCATAACAGCCTGAGCCAAAGAAAACCTCAGGAAATCTTATGAAGAAGTGAAAATATTGCAGAATAATACCACAAACAGGATAGCTGCAGTTCCTTTACTTCTTGTACTATCTCGTAAGACTACGATATAAACCTGGTGCATATAAATATTTCTGCTGTAGGAAGTAAGAAAAAATATGTTGTTACTATATAATTTCCAGATGAAGGTCTTGACCACACATGCTGTCAAGTGAGAAGCATTATAGAAGGGGTATTATATGTAGCAGAGGAATTATATTACCCACACCACTTACAAGAGCAGGGGAAAAAAGGTAGTGCTTACTAGAATAGGTATTGTTTTCAGTTCTCCTACCAGCAGATAAAGCATATACGTGCTATGGCAAGAACAGATTGTAGGGGACGAGCAAGCAGAGGAGTGTCTAATTAGCCCCTCTAGTCAAGGAGCAACTGATCGAATATGCCAAGCTCAGGGCTCTAGGCTGGATGTCATGCCTATCTTTATGTCCAGTCCTTCTCCTTCTGCTGTCACTCAGAAGTGGCTTCAACATCAGTAAAACCTTTTGGATCAGATCCCATAGATAATGCTAGTATCCAACTCCTCTCTTAACATCTGGCTTTGTAATAATCTTAATTGGTAATCAGGTTCTTGGAAAATGGTTTGTCTGTTGAAGAAAGCAAAGTTTCTACTAGAGCTTAGAGAGAATAACAGATTATCTACTTCCTGCCTAACACAGAATTTCTTTTTCTTTTCTCCAAAACAGCTGGAGACCACCACCATGGGAGACAGGGAACTGAACTGGATGAATTCTGAATCTAACAAAATCACAATTTCTATTCTCCCTAAAAGGCATGATCGAACGATTAATGATGAGAGTGCACCGTAACTGAGATATAAGCTGATCCCAGAAAGTGAGTCAAACCTGAAAGTTCAACAGCACAGATTTTCATATTGATACCAAAGATCAATTTGGTCAGAAGGCTCCTAAAACAGAAGTCAAGGTGAATGACTAAAATCTGGGTAGACAGGATTCTGCAGGAGTCATCAGATAAAATCGGTTAAAAATGTAGTTTGTTACACAAGTCAGCCAGCCAGCTACATGTCACAACAGTGGTACCCCCAAAAATGCAAACCCCAGCTGCATGTAAATAGACAGTTCAGTTCTTCACATACACCCTAGCTGCCTCTTATTAGCATGAAGCCTACGTGTATTATCATGGTTTGTAGAGGTCTGACAATAGAAACCCAAGCAATGTTATCTCAAGGATTCCTTGTGCCCCCCAGGCGCTCTCTGTGCCCTCCACTGCCTTTGCACAGCAGCTGGACCATAAGCTGACTGCAAAGGGAGCTGCCTTTTGTTCTGTTTGCAGAAAACGTGTGAGTGACGACAACAATAGGAATAATAAATACAGATGGTATTACGCACACATGCAAACATCCCTGCAGAAAATTCAGCCATAGGGTGAATACCAAAATTTTACTTGTCACTTAGCTATTTATAAAATCAAAGAGACTTAAAAATAGCAAAAATTACTTATCCTTGCCAAAACCATCTCCCAGAGTGGACAGCCCCAGGGGTTGAGATCTGAGCTCTGATCCAAACAGCAGTGGTACCTCCCCAGCGGGGAATTCCCAAAACAGGAAAGATACCCCAGAGCTGACACAAAGCCAATAGATTTGGCTCCCACGCCAGACTTCCTTCAGCTGTCAAGTCAAGCGTATCATGGTTAAAAAATCTGCTGTGCTGTGGCTATTTCCTACTGGAGCTGTGGTGGGCTGGGCAGAGACAAGAGGAGCTCAAGGGCTCTTTTGATCATCCCTGGCCCAAGATCAGAAATATGCACCCAGCCCCATCCTCTCCAGTGGCATCCAGCACTGCACAGCAGTGCAGACAAGGTCTTTTATCAGTCCCTATAAGCTTTCTACCACCCTTTCTGCAGTAATGCTTATATGGCATTACTCAGCAGTTCATCTGTTGCTCTGCTGGATGAACCACTCTCCTTGTCACCACTCCCCTCAGAGCCATATCTGTGAAGTCATCTTTTGCTTCTAAGGTACGAGAAACATCCTTTTGGGGTCAGCACCCTGCTGGGGATTATAAGCATGCAAACTGAAGTTTAAACTAGTCCATGCATTACTGAGTATATTACCCCATCTGCAAGTGATGGGGTAAGCCCTCAGGAGGCATGATTTTATCTGATATAAGAGTGGGCAGAGAGCGGTCTGCAAGCTGTTCTGGACCAATATAGACCCAGGCTTTAAAAGTCCCATGTGATTAAACAATGACTCATGGCTGATTTCTGCCTTGCCTTTCAACACTCACCACTGCTTTACATCCTTAGCATTGCTAGAGCACAACAGAAGATCACAAAAAGGTAATAGAAGATCACAAAAAGGTAACAGAAGCGAACAACATTAGTTTATAACACATCATAGCTCACTCAGCCTCTGTACAATACAGAAAATCTTGAGGTAGCAAGTATTTTATGGCTTCTTAAAATAAAATATAAACAGAACTCAAGTATTTTTTTTACGCCACCTGTAAAAAAAAATTAATTGGAGGAGCATAAGCAGAACATTAGCAGGCTATTTTAAAAACCTTCATTGGGTTCTTTTGCACCCAAGTCTATTCAAAAGAGTTCATGTAAACATATGAATATGTAGCAATACTGAGATGCACATATCTACATATGTGTATAAATATGCAGTAGAGCATTCCTCTACTGTGGCATCCTTTTAATATGGCATCATTTTAAAATCCTTCATGAGTTGAGAGACAGACCCAGCCTTACCTTCTTAATTCCCAGCTTCTCTTCACCTTTTGAAACTGAATCCTCCTTGCTGTCTCTATGGTGACAGTGACGTCCACATCCCCCTGATGAGATGGCTGCTGGCACGCACATCAGGTGCCAGAGCAAATCAGTCAGCACTGGAAACCTCTCCAGCTCCTCCATGGGACATAATGCTCTTCTCCAGAACTCAGTCTGACAAACAATCTGGTAAAGAAAACAGTGTTAAGCCACCATCTCATGCCTAAAAGAGTGGGAAAATGGGTCTAAATATGGGCTCTAAAACCCTTTTTTATTTTTCTCTTCAATCATAATTACTGCTACTTGGGAAATAAATGTGATAGCACTGCTATTAAAGAGTGTATCTGGATAACCTACACAGAATGAACTAATTAAAGGTAATTTCTCCCAAAGGGTTTGAGAGTGAGAAGATATTTGTGTCATGAAGTAGAAGTAGCTGATAAGCAGCATGATGAAAATCTCCTGCAATGTCCATCCACCTGGCACATGGAACCAGCAGTGACAGAAGAATGCTTCTTGGCTCATGGTTAGTGGAGAGAGGAGCAAGAGAAGAGATTTTTATCAAGTGCTAAGTGAAGAGCAGCAGGTGGGACCTGCAAAGGTGTGCCTTTCAGGCAGCCACAGAAGGTGGCTCCAATGACTTTCTCTTCTTAGGAGAGAAACATTGAGTCACTGGGGTTACAAAACACCAACTATTATGCACAGTCCTTGTTATATTTTATGATTTATATACCTAGCTGTTGAAACACACCCCCACTGTAACATGCTTTCTTGTAGCAACTTATAGGCACAGTGAAGGATGTTCAATTCCCACTAGCTCTTTCCCTCTGGGTACCCAAACTGGGGAAGATGTGTGCCAGGGAAGCAGCTTTGACTCTCTGCCACAGTCCACTGCCAGCACCAGCTAATACTGCACACACTGTAGATGCTCTAGATTGCCTTTATATTCCATTGACCTTTGTAAATTTGTAGCTGAAGGTGTCTGTCACAGCTCTGTGCCACTGCAAACCTCACTCCCCAATCCAAGGGAGGAGTTAAAGGTGTTCGTGGCAGCAGGTCTTGCCTGAAGGATTTAACTGTGCAAGATATTCTGTTGCAATTAGCTCATTTACAATTCTTCTCTGCTGCAATCCACTCACAATTAACTTTGATAAAGTCATCCACTCAAACTTGAAGGGTCCTATTCAATCCTGATAAATATTTGGAAAATGAAATAAAGACAACGATTAGTCCTGTATTTCCTTAAGTTTCCATGTCCTTCTTCACTGGTCAGAAAAAAAAAGATACAGTCCATCATCTTAAAGATGAAGATTTTAATGGCCCAGCACACATTAGGTAAAATCCAGAAAAACAACAATAGGGAAAAAATCAATAATAGTAATAATATATTACTAAAACTTGCATTGCTGTAATGCACATTAAAAATCTAGTCCCAGATCGAGTTACTGATGTACCATACCTACTCTGTTGAGATTTTTTTTCTTTGTGTTTTCTTGGTCTTTTTTTTATCTATCACCTCTTTTCTAATACTTGGACTGTAAATGCTTAGGATTAGGAAATACTTGTTGCTCTGTGTACTGCCCTTCTCATTCTGGGTTGCTGGACCCTGCCTGAGACTTTAGATGTTACAATAATATAAAAGCAAAGCAGTTTGAGACGAAATGCAAGAAAGTCCAAAATGAGACAGTATTACGGGACTTAGTCACATATATAACCCCTGAGAAATGAGAATTGCATTCCAATGCCTCAGTCTGCATAGTTGGTAAGCACTGAGATCATCTTTTCATCCAAAGTTACAGAGTTTCCTATGTATTTTCCTCCTCGAGGGAGCACCAGATATAGTGTGCTGCAGAAGCCAATAGATTTACCTTTAAACGATCACAACAGAAGCACAGAAAGAGCTGTCTCTCCTAGTTCACACAGGATTAATTTTGATTTCACACAGATAACAAGATATAAAAAGCATCTCAGTCAAATCACAGGATGCCTAAGTCATTGGGCTAAGAAGGGTTGTATATCCTGATGTCAACAGAGTTGCAAAAGTGCTTGTAAGTCCCTTTCCATCAGGGACCTACAGTGAGCCCCAGCAATGCAAGAGAGTGAAGCAGAGGTTATTTTGGCAAGACTATCAGCCAAGGAGTACTGGGAAGACCCATAAAATCAAGGTATAATTTAAAACATTCCTTCTCCAGTCTCCAGGGATGTGTAACAGCAGAAGGTGACCACAGGATGCAGCAGCATCAACGTGACAGCACACAGAGCAACTCCTCAGTAAGAGCGGATTGCACTGAAGGCCAGAGTATCACAGAGCACTACAGATGAGAGATCACTCTCCAAGGTCTAATCTGTAGTTCACACTAAACTTTTGCAGGAAAAGTAGCACCAGAAGCAGACCAGGTCTTAGAGTAGCAAACATGAAAGGTAAACAGAAGTTTTAAACAGAGCACAGCAATTGATACCTGTGCATGTAAACCATAAATAGAAAAGGAAATTTCAAGGGGTTTTATATTTAGGCTTATTGAAGCCACAAAGTGATCTTTCAAAGGGGCTTTTTTCTTCCCACTCCACACTGTATAGAATTCCGTCAACTCCCTAAAGACAGCATATACTCCCTATGAACAGCATATACTCCCTTCTCAATCTGCATCCATTTATTATATTTCACAGGTATTTAACATTATGCTATCTAGACTTCATGTATCCAAGGAATATAGATCTCATAACACCAATAATGCACATGGTTAGGCATGACATATTTCATACTGCAACCATTTACACCTTCAAAAGTAATATTTTTATTCTGTGGTCACATCTGTGACTGTGTGACTTCCAGGATTTTCTTGTCTAGGAAAAATAAAGCCACCAACCTCCCTTTCCCTCCACCCTCTCTTCCAAAAAAAAGAAAAACAAAAAAGAGGGGTGTAGATGAAGGAGGTTGGAATCCCTGTTGCTCTTGGTGCTACTTGGAGCCAAATCAGGATGAGTTTTTTACAGCACAAATTCTCCAGACTTTTGTTGTTTTCATACTTTTAAGCTTCTAATGGCAACTGCTTAATGCATTTCTAATTGGAAATGCACAATAATAATTAAAATAGTTTTTTTAATTAAAAAAGGCTATAATTATGTCTTTTGCTTTGTTTGACAAAACTATGGTTTCTACCAAAGCACATGACCAGCCCTCGGGTGGTCTATTCACAGCAAACAATGTATTGTCCTGGGCACACAAGACAGAAAGATGTTGTTTAATTGAGCTTCAGACTTCATTTACTTAACTTTTATGGAAATTACCCATAATAACTTCTAGAGGGCACACCATTATTTCTTCTTTCCTCAACTCAATGTGATTGAAAGTTGACATTATCAGCTTCTTCTTTCTTATGCACTCAGTTACATTCATCACTGAAACACTACAGTCCTCTTTTTAAAAGGGTTAAAAAACCAGAGGGAAGAAGTTGATTCCTCATTACATCAGCCATACAGAAATACAAAAATTCCATTGCCAAGTTCCCCAAAAGATTTCTTTCCTGAAGTCCACTTTTAATTAAGTCAGTAAAAGTTTGCTTGCTCTGTTCCTTGAACCCTGAACCCAGATGTATAATCAAAAGATGGCCAACTCCTTTCCTATAACAGGTAAAAAATTCCATCTCTATAATCAGAGAGCAGTACTTCATCATTTCTTGATAGCTTTGATATCAGGTATAATATTATGAAGCTAATGAATTATTTTCACCATACTCAGGGTCAGAAATCTTTTTAAGTGCCCATCAAAAGCTGCTTAGACCACTCTGGCACAAAGTCACTTCAAAGCAGTTAACTCTGAAAACATCATTTCCATAAGAGGAGTGTCTGGATACTTGTGTTGTTGAGCTTATCTGTTTGAAAAAGTCCTGGCGGTTTTTATGCTGGGTTGCGCGACTGCACAGAAAACTGGTCAAGATACACAAACAGGAGTCTCTAAGCTTTTTAGTGAATAGTCCATTTTCATGGAACTTAAGAGCCAAGTGAGATGGGGGGAGTGGTGATGAGATGAGCTGGCATGCCAAGGGGAACAGCTCACCAAGAAGGCCAGCAAAATCTGTTTGCTCCATTTCTCTGGAGACTCTACCAGTTCCTGGAATCACTCTAAAACTGTTCTCACATCCTCCACCTGCCCACCATCTTTATGATTGCAAACTTATTCTGCAACTGTTGTGTCCTGTACCTGGACAGGACAATTGCACATCATGTCTCCCTTGAGCAGAAGACGAGTTGGGTGCATCCATCTCATCCAACAGCCGTGCCCCCCTCAGTTTGAGTCTGCAGAGCCAGGACACCCAAGACAGCCTGTGTTCATCCCACCTGCGGTAACACAAGTCCACTTTGATGTGCTCTCTCCAGCAATGCCTGGTGTCTTTCTGTCAGTAAAGTACATTTGCTCACTTTAGCCAGGAGTTGGCATGAAAACCGGCATGTAACCAAGATGGATATTCAGAGACTTAGCAGCTCAAGCCTATGCTCCAATTCTGAGTCAATATGATGACATGGATCGTCCACAGCTTCCAGTGTCATGATCACTGTCGTTGTTCACCAGTGGTTTGATATCTGTCAAGTGTGTCTGTATTTCACAGAACAAACTCAGAACAAGCGCATGTAACCACATAATTATGCCTGCCCATAAGGATTCAGATGTAAGACATTTTCCCATTCCACTATTATTGAAGAAACATTTCATTTTCAGTTGTGTTTTCAGAAGACTAACAAGGGACTCATGAATACATCAAAGCAAAGTCATATTATTCATTTACAACAAATGTTTCTGATTACATTTTCTCTGACCATTCAGAAAACACTTTAGTAAAAAGCTAGAAAAAAAACCAAACTGAGTGTTTTTCATTACTACCTCTCATAACCCTAGGTCCTGATCTATTTGCACAACACAATTTGCAGAACATCCACAGGAAGTGAAATGAAGCCCAGGTACCAGCTCTGCAAACCTGAGGTCTACCAGAAAACCATCTTCCAGCTGCGATGGAGCCATCTCCAGCAAAT